ATTAGCTTAATAGCTTAAGCACTACTTAGTTGTTTTGCTATTAAAGGCTAATTATATCTAACATGAGATGAAACTTGCGCCTATTAAATAATAGCTTAATCAGCTTAGCCGCCCTTATACTGATCTGCAGCGCCCTTTGGAAGCTCCATAATAATGGGCAAAGGAGTGCTAATATCAAATGCTGCGAAGATATAGGAAGCCTTGGCATTAGCATTTGAGCGCAATGATTGCTCATGCATTGCTATTGCTAAAATTGTAGCGCCGCCAATTTGTTATTTGCGCATTTAAGTTAAAAAAATTAGAAAAAGTGAGGTTTAGCTGAGTGCGTTTGTGTGCATTCAACTGGTTCAATTACTTTATGCCAAATAAAATGTGCTTGAAACCCTTATGTTTATGAAATGTTCTTTTGAATTAGACAGGAGGATTGAAAAGACTTAATCATGGATATAGATACATAATTTGTAAAATCTTTTGTTTCTAATTAACTCATTTCTAAATTCTTGAAGTTTTATTTCATAATCTCAAACATCTGATTTGTAGTTTCGTTTAGTTTACAACAAAAGAAATAATTATTAGGAGTCTCTTCTTAATCCAAAATTTACATAAGATTTTCCAAAGAACCCTCTTAAATACAGTCGTTATGTTTATCTGAAACTGAATAATCATGATATTATTTGCCATGTGTTGGAGCGTCACATATCAAAAATGTGCAAAGAATACTTTAAGAGTGCTTCGAAAAGTCCAATTTTAAAACTTGCGAAATTCCCCCTGCTAGGTCTTCTGCATCATCATCACCACCGTCAGCTTAGACAGTACTTATATATGATTTAATTAATTCGACATCCGTTGTAAAATCATGATATTAAATATGTTTCTCGTCTTTAAAATCTCGATAGCCAACAAAAGCAATTCTAATTTATGTTTATGATACTGCTTTGTTAAAAATATTGATTATTTCTGATATGCTTTCTCTTGCTTGATTAATCCAAGGATCCATGCTTCCAGTACAATCCATTATAAATACAATATCCAAAATGTTGCTTGCTCTGATATCATGTTATAATTTTTTAAGATTTTATTTTTCGAAAAGCAATTCCAATTTTGTAAATGACTTGCTATCCATTCTTTATACCTCAGGCTTTTAACTACGAGTGCATGGTACCAATTTTTTTCTTTCAAACTATTTAGCTGATACATATTTAACTTTCTCCCAATCAACATGAAATTTGGGACATATTCCTTTATAATCACAAATACCTTTGAAGTACTTAATGCAATATTTCTCTAAATCATAATATATTTTATCGACAACTATCATCGTTTCTGGACTTAAATTCATATACTCATATTCTTTAAATACTTCTGATTGTAGTTATTGCCAATCAACATGCTTTTAATTTTTTTCACATTCACCCTCACAGTCATCATTGTTTTTTAAATATTTAATGCAAATATTTCTCTTTTATATCCAATCTCTGTGCAGATAATAGCAATTGCTATTTTTACAATCAAATGTTGGGCATAGATTAATAACGAAAACTCCATTAATTGAATGCATTTACAGTTTCTCTTTCAAACTACCCTTGCTTATATGAATTAAATTCTTAGGGCAAGGTTTCTTGCAATTACCATTTAAATTGTGAATACAAATTCCTGCAAAGCATCTTGGATGCATTAGATTACATCCATTATTTTTACATTTTATATTCTCTGGGCATATTGATAGCAATGACTCAAATAACTTTTGAATCATTTAAATATTTCAAAATTGATTTTGTTCATTTTAATCTTCCCTTCTCTAATTTAAATTCTAATAGAATTAGGAATTTTTAATACAAAATTGCAGTTAAAATTATTATTAATCTCGACTGAAAAATTGATGTTCATCCCAACTTAGTATCATGCTTTATTTCTTTGCTATCTTTAAGAATTATATTACATATATCATTTCAATGCAGATCATAAAAATGAATTAATTCATATAATTTACAAATATTATCAAAGACTTTAACATTATTTTTACAGCATTTAATTAACCCAAAATACTTCTATTAGATAAATTTCATTAATAATTATTTATTAAGGAATGTCTTGTCGATGTTTCTGTTATACACATAAAATCCCCCATAAAAAACCAACAGTATAAATCATTCTGCTAAAATTCTCTTGTCATTATAATAGTTAGGTAATTTTTACTATTTATTGATAATATATGATAACTATTAATCAATAATTATTTTTCAGAATTTTTGAATATATATTGCCAAAGAATTCTGTTATACAATTGCATTAAATGGATTCTTCAAATATAGCTGTTAGATGGAAAGCAAATTAGGGACCATAGATTTTCATTTAGAAGCATTAGAATTTTATCATTAAAAATGAATGCTCCTTTAGTTTAGCGTAAATAGTCAAATCCCTTTATAAAGAAAATTTGTTAAGGGCATGAAAGATGACAATATTTTGACATATACAAACGGAACAATAAAACTAAATAAAATTAATTTCTCGTTGAGATTAAGTTGATGGCAGTGTATTACCATATTTATTCAAAATGCCCAATAACATTGAACAAAAGCCCACTATCAGAACAATTAATATATATAATTGGTGACTTGGGATTAGGAGAATAATAACTATAAAATGATATTTTGTTTAAGTCCCTAACTAATAATAAGAATCTAATTTATAGGAATAAGAGTTATCTTATTCTTTAGAATAAACATTACTAAACTGAGTGATCATTATTCTTTATTATTTTCCTCTGTTTCTACTTCTCTTATTTGGTTTAAATTTTATAAATAATAAATTTAGAGTAGGTTTAAAGATTTATTGCCAAAATAATTAAAAGAAGATAACATAATTCACTTCATGATAATCATCAAATAGATTAGATAGTTCAAATTATCATTTGATATTTCTTTAGTTAATTTTCACATTCAGCTACATAAATATCTTAATATACATTTTTGATTTTGAACTTATGCACAAATTTGGATTGATCAAAATAGCCTTACTATAAAGACATATAGCTTGTTAGTAATTTGCTAATGATTGTAAACAGCCTCCTAATAACTAGAAATATTTTTAACCTTTCCAAACTAGAGATTAATAATGATTTGGATTGTTTTCCAATACTTGATCTAAAATCTAAATTGCATTGTCATATCTATGCATCATTGCTAAATTTTTATATCATCTCTTAGAACATGATGATTCTCCTAAAATAGAATAAAATAATATCTTTTATAAATAACGACTTGAAATGCTTTGAATCAATCGATAATGCTTTGTCGGCCCATAGAATTGCCTCACTATAGTTACCAAGCCTTCTTAAACATTCAGCTTTCCATATTGCCTGATGATATACCTTTAGTAAATAAAGAATTGACATGTTTAGAATCGATCAACAAAGTTTTATCTGCCCAGAAAATTGCATCATTATAATTACCAAGCCTTTGTAAACATTCAGCTAAATTTTTGTTTTATTTTATACTTTTAGTAAATAAAGAATTGACATGCTTGGGATCAATAGATAATGCTTTATCGGCCCGGAGAATTGCTTCATTGTAGTTATCAATCATATATAAACTATAAGCTTATTCATATACATGCGATGTATACCTTTTGTAAATAAACAATTGAGATGCTTTGAATCAATAGACAAGGTTTTATCTGCCCATAGAATTGCTTCCTTGTAATTATCAATCATAAATAAACATTCAGCTAATACAGATATTGAAATTTTCCACCTTTTGTATATAAAGAATTGATATTTTTAGAATCTATTGATAAAGCTTTGTCAATCCATATAATTGCATCATTGAAGCGACCAAGCATTCTTAAACATTCCGCTTATTATTATTAATATTATTTTATACCTTTTATAAATAAAGATTTGACATGTTTTGATTCAATTAACAAAGCTTTTTCTGCAAATACAATTGCATCATGGTAATTACCAAGTCTTTATAAACAATATGCTAATACATTAATGTCTGATTTTATACCTTTTGTACGTAATGAATTCAGATGTTTTGGATTGATGAGTAATGCATCATCTATTATTTTAATTGCTGCCTTACATTTATTATCTTTATAATATAATTGATAACCTAATTTAATGATTTATTACCACTTTCATGTAAAGATTCAACCTCTTCTATATCTTATAAATCTAATTAATAATCACTTAATTTATCTAGTTTCAATTCTGTGATTTATCTTGTTAAATACATAATCATATTGTCAGAATAGTGATGAAGTTCCTCTAATAACTCTTTTTAAAATTCATCATATTTAATAATCTCATCCAAAATTTAATTTAATTGTTTTGTATCCTACCCTTATATTCTTTCTTAAGAATATTGAAATTTTTTTCTTATCTTTTAATTTAATTTAGTGAATAGTTGATTTATTACTTCATTCATCAAACATAAATCTGAAATTAATGTTTTACTTTTTTTCTCAATACTCTTAAAAACCTAAATTAATCTTGACAAATTCCATTGATCATTAATGTGATCTATGTGATCTCCATTTCTAAGGCATTAGTCACAATAAATTCTACTAGACTCACATGTTTTATTTAAACAAGTCAAAGAAGCATAATCATGATTTTCTTTAGAACATTTCATTGCAAATTCTCCAATCGAATTCATATATATTTTTATTATTTTTAATTCTATTTAATATATTTTCATTATCCTGTATATCTATCATTGTTACATGTCCTCAGAATTTTAGAGCACATATCTAAATGAATTCTGGACTAGTTTATTTTAAGTATTAGTATTAGATAAATAACTTATAATCTTTGATTCATAAGTTAGACTATGCAAAATTATTAATAAATCTTTTGGATCGGCATTTAATTTTGAGTTTTTTTTTCCATTATCTTAAGTATTTGATTTTGATAAGTGAATCGTGAATCCTTTTGTTTCTAAGTTACTTCCATTTCTCTCTTACTCAGGCTTTATCGAAAAATAAGGTTGTTATATTGTCGACATCCTATTTTAGATTCAAAATCAAAATGTCTAATCAAAATTTCTAATTGATTCAATACTAGTTTTTTTATTATCATTCATTTTGCAACTAATCATAATATAAAACACTTTACTAAATTGTATTAGCTCTATTTATAATTAATTTGAAATTTACCCTTGTTAATATTTATAGATTAAAACCTAATTATACTATACTGAAATTATGAATAGATTATAATTCTTGAATTTTCTAAGCTTTGATTTTTAGAATAATTTCACTTTCTGCATGCATCTCCCTCAACAAAATTTGAGTAATGCAGAAATTTAAATAAAAATTAATTTAATAATTAATCTAGATACTTGGGTTTACTAATTTAATAATTATTGAATTTGAATTGCAAAATCGATCTTTTTGAATAAATAAACATCGTCTAGCAAGAATTGGTGTTTTAGAATCTTATTTCAACACTCATCAGGATATATAATAACATAATTCATAATTATAAGTATATAATGTTATCCATTAAAAGAATTTGATAATTTTAAATTCTATTATAAGATTTAATAAGTACTTTATGATTTATATATTATGATTCTTAAATGGGATATAAACTATATTCAATTTCTACTTTAACGTACATTTTTGCATATCTACTAAAGAACTCAAATAAAATCACTTTGATATTTGAAGAATTCTAATCGCCATAAACTACATTATTTTATCAATATATTAATAAACTTTTTAACAAAAATTTAATGGTTACAAAAAAATTCCAAAATTCTAATTAGCTTTTGCAGGCCTAAATCTTAAAATCAATAAAATCTGAGAGAGATTTTTAGACTTTCAGAAAATAAGAATATTCAACAACAACTTGATTTTGACCTAATATCAAGGGAATGATGGAAGTCATCAATAATAAATTCTGCTTTTATCTTGTAAGATAGTGATATTAGGTCAAATAGCATCGAAGAACATAGAAAAAATATGATAGCAATGGGATTTTGAAAACTTAAAGCATGCTCTCTAATTATTGAGCGCTCAAATAACAAAACTATTTGTTTTATCCATTTTTTTTTGGATCGCAATAAGCCTTGACTTTCTATCAAGTCTTAATATGACTAAGGATATCCCCTTAACCCAAAGTGACAGAAGTCTAGAATTTACCACTGTAATCATAACGTCAGGTACTTTAGTTCTCACTTTTACTCCAGTATATTTAGTTATTTATTTACGCCAGCAAATTCTGAATGGAAAAGGCCAGTCCAAAACGAATAGTAGAGACTATTGTTTTTTATGAAAACAAAATTAATCATCTGATTAAATTCAAACAGGTCAAGTTCTATAATTCAAGCATATACTTAACTGGCCGTTAGCGAGAGCTTGATTTTCTCCTTTAATGCATGACAAATTATAAAGGAGAAATAGGTCGAAATTAATAATTTCATAAAACTATTGAATTTTTGGTTGCCTTCCTTCTGACAATAGATATTAATCAACAAATTTTGTAAGTATTCAACTAAGTTATTCAGTTAATACTACCAAATTTCTAACTTTCATATATATTTTTAGGGATCTTCCATGATTGTTAATATTAAATTGGTCTCTTTCATATGACAGTAGATATTGATTTGCAGCATCAAGTCAAATATAATTTAGTTTTAACCAACTAACTAACTGTTATTTAAATATTAGATGATATCAGTTTATTGAAGGAAAAATTTACTTGTATCCATTAGGATGAATTTTTATATAAATAAAAAGGAGTCATTTAATTAATGAGTATCAACTCATAATTGTAATTGGGTTGGAATATATAATTATAAGAGTAGAAATAATTTATGTAGTGAGATTTAATCTAATACATTATTCAAAATAGCGTTGTATTAATATGAATTCAATAATTTATTTTTATAAATAACTAACTTTTAAAAATTCTGTTGATATATGATTTAAGTTTGAATTAATCCATTAGAAAAGAAGCATAACTTAGTCAGTCTATTATCTTTATTTGCTTATAGCAATTTAATATATAACATCCAAAACTCAAAATAAAATCCTCGGTAAGAATTATAAGGCTGGGAACATGCAAAAATTCTAATATTCAATTACTTGTTAAATCAATAAAAATAATATTATAAAAAATTCAACTCATGTAAATTTATGATAAATTCTCTTTTAGTCAATGAAAATATAAAGCTAATGATTTTTAAGGTATCGTTTGTCTATAAATTAATTACTTTTATGTGAAACACTTACTAAAATATTCTCAAAAGAGAATTAGTGCCTTTTTTCACCATTAGATACTATTCTGTAAACAGATTTGATTTAGAAAAATCCATAGTTATTTCATAATATTCCTCATAACATTTCTCATTGTAAATATAACAAATTTTCAGGGTTAAAATTATTAATTGAACTTCTAGTCCTTATGCAAGGTTCGTTGTAATTTACTGTAATGGATTTATTGATTTTTAGTTCTAAATTGACTAATATTTATTGATTAAGCCAAAGCTAGTAATTAGTTTCTATTTCAAGTCTTTAGCCCACGTATTACAAGATATGTAAAAAATATCAGTACTCTACTATGAAATGGAGGTACTATTTCAAATTTTATTCCATATTATAATTTATTCACCTCCTTAGTTTATCATCACAGAATTAAGTATAGATTAGTGAACTTTGGAGACTATCAGAAGAACCAGCAAGAATTTACAATGGATTCTGACCCCCTTATCATCTGATGATCTTACAATTGTCCCAAATGTGCATTCAATAATTTTAGGTACTATCACTATTGTGAAGTTGAAGTTAAGGATATAAAATAATAGTTTTGAGAGGTGATTGTATCAAAGGTAATTTCTATTAAATATTTTAATTTTTTATCCTTCAAGCAATCATTCATTTTTAAGGAATTTAAATTTCCATATTATATTGAAACTATACAATATTTAACTCAAATAACATACACTTCGCTAACTTCAATTGTTTATTCATTATTTCTCAAATCCATTGTCCTTTTTAAGAGATGTCTTCAAAAATAGTAATAGAGATAAACAAATACTTTCAAATAATCCTTGATTTAAGAGTAAATAATTACCTGTTTTCTAAGAATGTGGTTGAATTTCTTGAATATGCAGAATTCTATTTATTCTATATTTTTATATCGATATTAATACTAATTTTGCTTTATGCATAAATTATTAATAGTTTTACTTTAAATGATAAGATTAATCTTGAATTTGGTATAATATAATAATTATAGTACTTTTCATCCTACGATCCTAGTAAATGACGATATATTGTATATTAGAGCGATAAACGATTAGAATAATTTTGAAGAAATTGTCTGCAGATTTGATTTAGTTGATTTGGCTATATAGTGGCGAAAGAATAGGTATTTATTAATTATTGTTTAGTTTTACCGAGTTTACTAAAGGATTCAGAATTTTTAGATAGTAATCTAGGTATAAGGTTCGCGGAGAGTCATATGACGAATTGATGTGGTTTTAGGATTTTATTGAAGGTAAGATTCCGATTTCGATAAAATGGTAAGAATAGTATGAAAAAGTAAAGGAGGAACCAACATTTTTTTAAGAGAATGTATAAAATGTATTTTTATTTAAACTTAGAGTATTATTGTGAAGGATAAAAGTACGAAAAAAAAGTAAATTATGAAGAGAATCTACTAAAATGTGTAGGTGCCTGTTGATGAATTTAAGATTGAAGTCTATCTCTAAAGGAATCCTCACCCTAATATTCTGAGATGGAATTCTCATTGTATAGATAAGAAGAAATAATTTATAACTTTGGATTATTAATAATATGTTACTTTGGATCAAATTTTTTCTAGATATAAGAAGGTCCCATTAAAAATTGTGAAAGAGATTATGATATAATTATTAAATGGTAATAAGTTTTTAGATAAAACTAAGGTATAAGGCATCTACATTCTAATTACATTATGCATAAAGATATCAAGCCAGAAAATATTATTATTACAAATTTTGAAAAGCCTAAAGTTAAGATTGGAGGCTTTAGTCAGGCAGTTTTTGGTTAAGAGTTTTGTAGATTTGGTGGATCTCCATTTTATAGACCACCTGAGGTTATTGAGGGTTTTATTCATACAAATAAATTTGACATTTATAGTGCAGGAGTAGTGCTTTATGAATTGTTGAAAAATAAAAGAATTTAAAGGCGTATATATTTTTAAAAGGATTCCTCTAAATTACAACAATTAGAGATAGATCCCGCAGCAGTAGATTTAGTCACATAAATGCTGCATCCTGATCCATATCAGAGGTTAGATGTTATAGAATGCTTAGATCACTATTTTTTTATAGATGAATAACCGTATGTTGGAAAAGAGTAAATTATAAATTTATTATTTAGAAAGGAACGATTATTTTCATAATCAATAAAGCCCAGATTCATACATAACTGATGAGTGATAACATCAATGTTTTTGTGTACATATAATTTAATTCAATTAATTTTCCTATTTTTATTGAAACCTCTTTTCATGTTCAAGTTAACATTTTAATTTATATGGCGATTTAAAGATTCACTTAAATAGAATTTTTAAACCTATATCTAAATCAAACTGAAAGATAGTCCTATGTTTCAATTCTTAATTTACATTATGCATCATTTTATCATTTAACATTTTTGAAAGAGATTCTATTCCTCTATATTCATCGCACCAATTTTATAAAATTTATAGATATATTTAAAATAAGATCATAAATGCTAAGTTTGCTAATTCAAAACATGCTCTACTCCTTGTTAATCTCAAACAAATAACTTTTGTAATAATGATATGAATTAACACCGAATAAATAAAAATGTTTACAATCTTCTATATTATTAGAGGAATTAAATTCCTGCCAATTAAGCATTTTGATTTTTTGTTAGATATGCTAAGATTATGCTTGTTTTGATATATTTAAAATAGATGTAAATCTTCATATTCAAATCAACTAATTTAATAATAATGTAATAATAAAACACATGCAAATCTGATTCAACTTAAGAATAAATCTATACTTAATTTATTAGTTCTTATATAGACATAAAAATCATAATTACAATTTTCATGAGTTTGGTGTTTAAATATTTTAAATCTCCAATAAACAGTACTTACCATAATTAAAATATGGTACTATTCAAGAGTTTTAAGAAAATAATTAATTGTAATCATAAAACGTTCATTTTTGTTCCAAGTTCTTAAATTTCCTTTTTGTTCAAAGAGAAAAAATCAAAACAAAACCAAATATTGTAATTATCCGACCTATTTTGATGACTATCTCATTGGACTATTTGTGATCTGAAAGACACAAGTCAATTTTTGTATATTGTAAATTATTCTAAATACTTCATTTCAACATTTTTATCTCCTACTTATAACAACTCTCCTTTTTTTAAATCTCCCTACAAATTTTCCTAAATCAACAACTTATAAGCTGATATCAATTAGTATAGATACACTTTCTGATGACTCTTCTATTAGCCATAATTTTTCAGACTTGTCCATTCCATCAACAATTTCTTAAATTTTCGTGAAATAGAAGCATTTGAAATAATATTTATATTGTTTATAGTATATATATTAGTTCTAAAGAAAATAATAATAAACTTTCCTGTATTTGGATGAATAAAATTGTAAGCATTTCCAATCTAGAATGCAATCATCCATTGAATGATTCTCAATTGTAATTCTCAAAATATCAAGCAATTAATAGATAATAATAAAATTGCTTATGAGAATTAAGATAAAATAAATAAAAAAAATGAGATAATAAAAAAAATCAAAACCTTATCTATTTAATAATCAAAAAAAAAATCCTTTAATATTTAATTTACTAAATAAAAATGCAAATTAATAAGTCTTCTGTTTACAATAACTATGTAAGTGACAGTGACTAAAATACATAAATGTGATGATTGCACTTAATTCAATTCATCCTCAGATTGTAAAGCAACTAAATTTAGATGCACTTGGACAGAGAAAACAGCCACAAAAAGCAGAATCTTGTGCCAAATCTACAACACCTGTTGTTACTTCTACATCATATTGTTAAAAATAGAGACTACAAGTTGTGCTCAGACCTTTGGATGTGCTTTAGTTGATGGAAAATGCACACATTTCACAGGATATTCAGCTTATGTCAAAACTACACATTCAGATTGCTAAACCAAATCTACATGTGTATAACAAATAGAACAGATGAACTTGAATGTGTTGGATATACTAAAGATTAATGTGAAACTATCTGTAGCTTAAGGAGTCCATACAAGTGTATCGACAAGTTCAATTGATATTAAACACAAACTTAAAGGAGAAACATGTAGAGACTACATATGTACTGAAGCTGATTCTTCACTTACAACTGATGTAGCCTGCTCAACTTGGTTATCAGATTGTAAAACAACAGGTGCTGGTTGTATTGATTCAATAACTCTATGTGCTAGTTATTAAGGTACTTCAGAAACATACCCAAAGATGAAGGGATCAGATGGAAATTACGAATTGAATCCAGATGGAAGTAATAATTTTAGAGCAAGATTATGTACAGGTGCTGATTAATCAATTACGGGAAAGGGATATATTGCAATAAGAGGAGCTTGCTCAACTTATGATGGAAATGCTTCAACAACTGATGCTGAGTGTGGTACTTGGAAGACTGGATACAAATCAAATGGAAAATAATATGTTGACTTATTAGGTGCTTGTAGCTCATATGATGGAACAACAACTACATGTCTTGGCTTGATAGAATCAGATGGTAATTGCAAAGGAACTTCAACAACAGCTAAGTGTGCCTTAAAAGATTGTGTGTTGGATGGAAAGGAAACTATTAAAACAGATGCTGAATGTCAGAAAATTTAATCATATTGTAAAACAACAGGAAAAGGATGTGTGGCAACATTAGCTGCATGTTCATCATATTCTTATACAGATGATGGAACATCTTGTAATTCATGGTATGGATCAGATGGTAGATGTAAACCTGGAACAGCTGGAAAGTGTGCAGCTAGAGTTTGTACTGAAGCTTTAACATCATTAACTACAAACAAATATTGTGATGATTACAAGAGTGGATGTGTTACCACTGGAGTTGGATGTGTTTCAACAACTGTTTGCTAAGATACTGTTAAATAAGTTACTTGTGAAGGAACATCTAATTGTGGATGGAATTCAATCTGTACGACTAATTGTAGTTACTTATTGGCTAAATCTATTTGTAAAGTGTGAAGACAAACAGTTTACTATGTAAATTGGATACAAGTAAATGCAGAAATGCAAGATGTGGTGATTATACTGTGTTAATAATGGTAGAAAATGTGTCGATGATGCTGATTGTGCTGCTTAATTTGAAGGAACATAATATGCTTGCCAAGCCTTTAAAGCCAAACGCACAATTGATACTCTGCTGCTTGTATAGCAAGAACCTGTGATGATTCATATCTCACTTATGATAATCTAATGTAAGGCTGTGTGACATAAGGAACTAGTTGTATTAGTGAAAGAGCTTTATGTTCAAGTTTTTCTGGTACTCCAAGACAATGTGATAAGTTTAAGTGATTCAGATTGCAATACATTTATACCTGATTAATATGTTACAAAGGAAATTGGATGTATTGATAAGACCTCTTTATGGTCTGCATATCCAGGAACAACTGATAAATGTTTAAATTATACTGAAAAATCAGTAGCAGATAAATGCATGTATCAAACTACGACATGCGGTACAAAAACGTCAGTGGCTGGGAATGATGAATGTTTATTATATCATGCTAATTGCAGATTTAAATTTGGAGATACAATTCTGTATCCAAACTTAAGCTGCTTGCATCACACACAATACCAACTACCATTAAAGAGAGTTCAGCTAAACTAGAATGGTGTAATTCAAGGTTCAAAAATATAACTATTCCTACTTAGTGTTCATATGATTCAGGTGAAAGCACAACAGCATGTTCCACTATAGATACATACGAAGAGATCATTTCTCCTACCAGTGCTGCTTAATGTAATAAAAGATTAGATGATGGAGACTGCTAATTTCATAATAACATATGTATTACTACTAAAAATGTATGCACTGGTTATATATAAACTGGTATTATTACAGGTTAAGCTACCTATTGTTCTGGCTTGAGATCAGAAATCTGGGAACTGCTGGAGCTTGTGCTGCTGGTAAAACTGCTTGTACTGAATATACTGGTTTAGTTGGGGCAGATGATGCTGCTAAGACATTAGAATGTTCTAAACTCAGAATAAAACAGGAAGTGCTTGCGGCTTCACTAATGGAGGAACTGCATGTGCAGCTCCAGCTGATAATGCTGCTTCATGCACACTTGTAACATCTGATATAGCTGCTGATGCGGATTGCGCCTTAAGAACAATATTAGGATGCAAGAAACACGCTACTAATAATGCTTGTATTGCAAATGATGCATGTACTGATGTTACACCTACTGGAACTACAGATGATGCGAAGACCACGAGTTGCTAAGCTAATATTGGTCCTGATTCTAAATATTGTACATTTACATCTGGTGATGCAAAGTGTGTAGCTGCTTAAAGTGCATGTTCAGGTTATTCAAGTCTTCCAAGCGATGATACTAAATTAGCCTTTTGCCAATTAAAAATTAATGAGAAAGGATAAAGATGTACATGGGTTACCCCTGCCACAGCTTGCTCAGATCCTTCAGGATAATTAGAATTTTGTTAAGCCAGGATTAAATCAGATGGTTTAAGATGTTCATGGGTTAGCGGTACTACATGTACAGATGCTCAGGCTGCTTGAGTGGATTGATTGTTCCATCAACAGTATAATTAGCATTTTGTTTAGCCAGAATTTTATAAGTTGGAACTAAATGTTTATGGACGAGTGGAACAAATTGCAGATATTATTCATTTCTAGACAATGTATCTCCTTAATCATAAGTTGATTAAGATTTTAATGGAACAGGATGTTCTTATTCACCCCAAAATTAACTTGGTTATTCCACAAACAGCATGTCCAAGTTACACCCAAACGAGTACTACTGAGGATGATAAACTTAACTATTGCAATGGTAGGTAAATTTCTGCTTCTGCTGGATGCTAATATAAGCTTCTAGTTGTTGATTAACTTATTTCCATATATTGATATTTTAATTTCTTAAATAGATTAATAGATTTAATAGTCCTTGTTATATTTTTAGTTCTGTTGAGCTCAGCTATTAAATCTATTAAATTTGATTATGAAAATATATTATGTTTTAATACAAACTAATAGAATATATAATATATTCTATCAAATTATATTAGAAATTATTGTTTATTATAACCAAAGTAGAATCAAAACCCAATAATGAGCCCAAATGTAATTATCTGTGACGATTTATTAATGTAGATACAAAGTTATTTATAATTATTACAATTTCTATTTTTCTGGTTCATACCATCTGTTTATATTTATATTTCATTCTTTTTCTATTAAGTTTAATTCCAAATTCTTTATCTCAAGTGTTAAATTAATAAGTAAATTAATATAAGAAATGCAGATAGGTGAAATTTTGATAATTGATGAGTACCAGATATCTATTGGGGAGAATATTACTGATAAATTATATGATTGCAAATCAACTCGGAATTCTTATATTGCTTATTGTGCTAGAGTAATTAATAATTTAACACTATTATAGCTAATACCAATGCAAGAATAGCACTTATAGATGCATTATGAAATGTAATTCTAAATCCATGAAATACTCTATAAAAATAGAAATAATTAAAATTTAGTTTATGTACATCTCGTCAGAAAACTAAAAGAAAGGAATTTGATTGTAATAATTATGGAGAAATGCGAAACTACTTTACAATAAATATGGGATTAAAAAAAAAAGTTCGATGATTTTAAAATAGATGAATTTTTTATTCAATTTCTAAATGGTTATAGAGTTCTTTATTAGGAATTTATTATTCATCGTAATATCAAACCTGAAAACATATAAGTTAAATATGTAAACGGAAAGCCAATATTTAAAATAGCAAATTTTGCAATTGCAAAAATATTTTTAAAAGATGATGATTCCCCCCTTGAAAAAATTGGAACGCCTGCATATGCTGCTCCAGAAATAAGCCCAATATAGCAAGACTTGGAATTAAGCTATTGCTTTAATTCTATCAAGAATATTGAAAATCATAAAAGCTAAATTGATATTTATTCAGTAATTATATGAATAAATCTAGATTGGTTTGATATTGTATTAGATGGTATATGGGAGTTTACCTTTTGATTCTTAAGTCATTGAAATTATCAAATTTTTGAATCAAATAAAATTACAAACGTTATAATTACAAGGGAATTCAAAGTATATCGAACTTATTGAACAAATGCTAGTTTATTCCCCTGATCAAAGAATTCCATTTTAATAGGTTTTTTAGAGGTTTGAACAAGAACTTAACAATGTAGGATCTCAAATTTTTTAGTTTAATAAACTTCCTGGAATGAATCCTTTTTTAAGTTTCGGTTAACATCCAGAGAACATAAATTCTCAACGATTTCCTACCATTATTAATAAGAATAATAATAATTTTAATAATAGCAATGGTAGTAATATTAATAATAGCAATAACAATAATCAACATCCACAGCATAAAGGATAACCAAATTTCTTAAGGATATACTCTATACAATAATAATGTTTTCCATCTCGGAACCAATTGAATTAACCACTATTTCAATAAATGCACAATCCAAAGAAGGAAGTAATAGAATATCTAAAAGCTCTATTGTAACATATTATAATTATTTTATAAGGTATGATTTTGATGCAGTAGTAAGTGACTCAATTAAATAAGAAATAAAAACACATTTAGAGTCTGGAGATGAGATTTTTTAAGAAGTTAATCTTAAAAAATTGTTAAACGTGTTTAAATTTGACCCTAATAAAGTAAATCATTATACTAAGCTCTTAAACTTTTATTATTCCATTTTCTCTATTTTGAAGAACCCAGGTATCTAAAATTAACATAAAATCTCTGAATCATAATAAAAAGATTTTATCAAACAAATTCATCAATAAAAATGATAAAACTAAAATTATCTGTGTTTTTAAATTTATATATATAATTGAAAATTTCATTTTCACAAGTGTTTTCTATGTTTATGTTAATTGCAATCAATGAGTCATGTTTGAGAATCAATCTAAAACAAATTTGCATCCTTATTTTTTTTATATTGCAACCTATTTAATTTCCATTCCTCAATATTGTAATATTCTCATTTTTGATTAATCTCAAAATTTAGATAAATTACTACCTAAAAGTGAATATCCCTATCATTCTTAAATTTAACTAACACTTGAGGGCATAATTTAGTATAAATAATTACTTCCAAATAGATTACTAATGAATTGAAATATTTCTTATTTTAATTTGATTAAAAATAAATTTAGAAGAATTAACCATGAAAACTTTGGTTTGCAGTAATATAAAAAGATTTTCTTGGTAATTAAGAGAAATAACTTAAGAAAAAATTATCTGCATTAAATACTTTTAAATATCTAAAAAATTGTAAATAAATTGTTGAATGTATGTATAAGTTTTAAAGAAAACGATCTTATCCATAAAAATTAACTATTAAAATAATCAACAAAAAACTGTAGAAATAACTGCAAATCTTGATTTCACAATTTATAATAAAATTTCTAATAATGTTTAGGAATTCCAAACATTATTGAAGAAATATTTTTTCTGTTCATTTGAATTGATTTTAACAAATAATAATTCTGAATTAAAGATTGAAGAAATTAATGGATTATAAAGTAGTTAAACAGCAACTATTCCATATGTCATGTTAATCAGAGATTAGCTATTGAAGGTGAAAATTCATCAATCATCATATGGTCACTAGAGAAAAAATCAATAGAATTTCATTTTCCTTAGAAAAAAATTAGATTTTATCAATGGCTTTATGGAATGTATAACAATGATTCACTTATATATGGATCAAGTTATAAATATTTTAAAATAATTGATAAATTTGATTATAATAAATAAGAACTTAAAACTGTAGGTGATAGAGGAGTTGAAAGACAAATATTAGGTTGTAGATTTTCCCTTTTGAAAGTTGAAGAATTCATATCTGTATCACATGAAAAATGGAAAATTATGGGAAGATTAAAGTAACTCAGATTTTGGTTTTGTTTTAGATGAAGCAACTAGTCATCCTTTATCATCATCAAATTTCATAGCAGGATTTAATTAAGCCAAAAGTTTAGTCGCCATCTAAAATAAAGCTACCTAAAGATATATATGATGTATCGTAAAAAAAATCTAAAAGTCATTGTGGTTGTGGAAGGAAATTATCTTAAAAAATAAGATCTTTCTTCTATACTCAAATTTTCTAAAAATGGAAATTTTTTACTTACATTGGGAATGATTCATAATCTTAGGTCATGGGATATTTCAGATCAAAAAAGGATTATACACAGATTAATTAGACAACACCATTTGAAGCACTTGCTTTTGCTTTTATAAATTCTTAATAAATCAGGATACATAATTGAAGGAAAAATTTCTGATTATAAATAAACAGGAGTTATAGAAGAGGGTAGTGAAGGTGGTTTTGATAATAGAAACAATTTGTAACTAATTTTGTTGCAAAATTTATAGAAATAGTTTAGAAATAATGGATTCTAAAACTAATAAAATAACATATACTTTAGATTAGTCTTAAATTAAAAATTATAATTTTCATCACATGGAAAACAATTCTATCTTGGCTCAATTTTAATATATGATCCCCAAACTTTAAAAAATATGAAAAACCAATTCACTATTATCCATTTCCAAAAAACCATCTCTTGTAGGCCTTTCGCTATGAGATTTAGTAATGGAAATTTTGAACTAATAAAACTGAAAAATTTGAAAAAGTTATTATCTGCAAAGGAAAATAAAGCATGAATATGTTATATTTAAGTAATATATGTTATTTTTATTGAATAATTAGCAATCAGAATTTATTATTTATCCGTTATTGTTGTTTTAAACTGGCTTATCTATAAGGCACAAATTCAATAATCTTGAATTCAGCTAATAGGTGCTATCAATAAATATTTTTGCACCAAGGATGTTACCTAAATAATTAGCTTTATAAATGAATCATTAATGTATCTTTTAAAAAGAATGGAGCTTCAAGCTATGAAAGAGAAGAGTTCTAAATGTTTGAAACTAATATAAATGTTTGTTAAAATCGAGAATCTATGATGACATATGTATTATAATGAGACTGTATTTAATTTAAAAGGAAAACAATATTATTAATAATTATTTTTTTTCATGGATTAAGATTTAAATCTATAGGAATAGTTGGAAAATACAAACGTGACCTAAGTTGAAGAAATTATTGAAGGGAGCAGCTTAAATTACTAATTAATTTCAAAATAAAAATAGAGAAAATGGGGAGGAGCATTAGCATTTAATAATAAGGGCAATTTATTAGCAGCTGCATCGAAACATGATGTAAAGATATGGGAGTTCAATAATGGCTATGTTACGAATCCATAATTTTTAAAAGGGAAATCGCTGGTGAAAATAATTAAATTTGGTATATAATCAAATTTTCTTGTTGCTGGCGGAAGTGATGAAACAATGCTGGTTTGGGAATTACAGAAAAATACTTGGAAATTTTGCACCTAATTGGTTGGACATAAAGGGAGGGTGAGTGCAATCATAATAAGTAAGAAGGATGATTCAATCATATCATCAAGTGAAGATGGAACAATCAAGATTTGGGTAGCCTAGGGTCAAAATAATGGTTGGATATGTTAAGAGACATTGAAATCTATGACTGGGGAAATTTATAGTATTGTTGAGAACTCTACTTCAGACATATTAGCTTCATGCTCTGAAAATAAAACTATAACGTTTTGGAGACAATAAAGAGCAATCATAAATAATGAAGTACAATGGAAAAAGTTTTAGAATATTAGGAATGAAGATTATGGAACTAAAATCTGTTTTATTGATCATGATAAGTTAACATGGTAACCTACTAGTGATGGGTAGTTATATGTGTTTTAAATGAATCCACGAAATTTACTTTTTGAATTGAAGAATAAAATAATATTAGGACAGGGAAATTATGACTTTCATTATTTTGAATCAATTTACTCAAATATATCTCGCTTGCTTATTGTTCGACATAAATATAGAATGTATTTCTTAAAAATGGATGAAACTTAAGAGTTTAAGATATAATAGATTATCCCATTTAGCACTAATTGGAATTTCGCAGCTTTGAGTTCAGATGAAGAATATTTTATTACTTGGGACTTTTAGAATTAAGAATTTTAAGTTAGATAAAAGAATGATTTAATTCATGTTTGATTTCATATTAGCTTAATTTACATTCTTCTGTTTACTTTTCTTTCAATCTAAAATAATTAAAAATTCATCAAAAATTGATTCTTTGATGACTACAATCAATTAATGACATTTTTTATCAAATCTAAAATCCCTAGCTTCTAATATTAATTTAATATTCGCTGGCCTAAAATAGAAAATGCCTGCTTATTTTACGATAGCAATAGCCAATTAACAATTGAACCAAGCCTATTTAAAGTAAGTTTGAAATAAAATTTTTTAAATAATTCTTCTTAGAAATAATATATATTCTAGAATTTTTGTGCATTTTTTTATATTTCGTATACAAATATTCTCTGCATTTTCTCATAAATCAAATTAATTAATTGAAATGCCTATCATGCTTTAAGAATTCGTGAGGGTACAAGAAGAAATGATTGATTATTATTATTAATATTATTAGAATGTCATTTTAAGAAACTAAACAGCAATAAATTATTCATTCTCTTTTATTCAGATTGATCTCAGTTATCAGTTCTTCTATTTTTTCTTCAATCTGATAACTATATTTTTCTTCTTTTCCCCTAAATGAATTCTAGAAATTCTGTAAATTTAAGTCCAAAATCCTATTCAATTATATGTTAATCTTTCATATAATACAGTTAAGTTTTGCAAATTTTATCTTGTTAGTAGTGTATTTCATTGAGGTTTTAGGAACCTTACTTTTGTTGTTAATTCTGATTAAATATTAATAATGCGATTTGGTGTCGATTTTGGTAATTTGATTATGGCCTTCAAATCCTTTTTTGTATTTTTGTTAGATCGTTCTTTAAGATAGTTATACTTTAGAGTACTTAAGTACCATATATATTTTCTGCATTTCATTTAGATTTTCCAATTAGAAATACTCTTGATTTTGCTTTATTTAATATTAGTTCCATATTCTACTAATTTCATCTAATAAACAAGTAAAGTGTTCTGCATCTTTGTAGTCTACAATAAAAGTGATCAACTCCTCTCTGCATAAGCTTCAACATTCAGCTCTTAATTCATATTTGAGGAGATATCTTATAAAAAGGCATCCAAATAAATGTTGAATAGCAATAGTGATAATGTGGATCAATAAAAAACTCCATTTAAACCACCATTTCTCTTATTCTTTGAGAGGGTCTTGATAATGAAGTAAAGAACATAGTCCTTTAAGAAATGTCAATTTATTCAATTTTAACACTTCTTTTTCTTCCATAACTAAGAATAACTTAATTCTAATGATGGTGCAATATGCATTTGAGAAATCAATAAAGATCACGCATTTCCTCTCTTGCTTATTTATATCATCTAAGAATGTTACCAATTTCCCCATTGTTACTGATTTCCTCTTTTAGAAATGATGCCATTTTACTCTTAATTAAGATAATGCTCGCAAAATCCTTAAATCTTATTTAAGAATCTTAAATCTAAAAAAAGTTGAATAATGGGCTTAGTATTGTGATAGGCCTGAATAGCTATTTAATGAATCTCTGGATATTCCTTACTTAATGAAACTATTTGGGCATTACTAATATATTTATTTATTTAAGGACGTTGCACTTCCATAGATGTTTTATTATTTTAGAGTTTTTTCTTATAAAAGTGTCTGAGATACCAACCATCCTTCTTTGAGGGTTAGAGTTGCCATTCTTTTATTTATCAGAAAGCCTTCTTGGGATTTGACTGATTAAATATTGTAGCAATTTCATAAATTATTCTTCAATAGTTATGTTTTCCTTTAGCTTGATTTGGTAAGATAAGATGAATCTTTTTAATCATAAGTCTCTTTCTTATGTCACATCTAATACAATTTTATCAGGTTTAGAAATCATTACACTTAAATGCTGCCTCTTAATTGAGATTATAAGCATTCACCTTTTGAGGCCTATCCTGTGTTCTGCTTACTCCTTATCGATTTAGGTCACTGCTAATTTTGCATGACTTGAAAATTTAGTGAAAATAAGACTTTTTCAAATCATGCTTAACCTGAACAACAAATGAAGTCTAAAGAGAGGATACTATTATTCTCAACAAAAGTGAGGTCTGATTAATCTAGAATGTTAGTTAACTAATCGAACTATAAACTATTATGATTAAAATTCTATATACAACAATTCTTTGACTTTCTATTTTCTTGAAAATTAAACTTTGTATCCATGAATAAGTTTTATTCTTTTACGAATTTGTTTGTTTGAAATGTAGAAAATTCAAATGATCAAATCCAAGCATTGGTTTCTACAATTTATAGCAATATAGTCATAATCTGTAGGATTTTTGGGAATTAACCTATCTGAAATATAAGTGAAATCAAAGTATGAGTGTATTCCAATTGCAACACCTCTTATGTTTAACCTTCTTTTTGAACAAAAAAGTATATTGAGGAAACTTTTATATAAATTTTTACCTTGCCTCTTCTAGATAGATAATAAGTGGTTAGTTTTCTTTTGCCAAATAACTGGTGCCTTTTATATTGAGCCAACATTTGAATTTGTTATTCTGTGAGTTAGTTTAGTTGTGTTGTGGTGACTTTTGGGAAACGATTTATTCTGTCTTGCTGCTGGTATCCCTTTAGTCAAGGTCTAGTTCACCTATTTAGACTTACCCTTAAATATGGTTTACACTCTGTTAGTACTCAGCCTTAAGCTTCATCATTCATCTTCTCTATCCATAAAGAACGAAACTATGAGGGATTTGTCTGTTTTTCCCTCTAAATAAATCTGGCTATAGTTTTGATTCCATAATTGCTCCTCAACCCAATAAATTACCTAGAGCCTCCCTATTAGTTGTTTAAACATTGTCTATTGCTATAATTCGGATTATAACTGTTGAACTGATTGAATCCCTCATGGCATCTTCTAATCGCCCATTAGATTTCTAATGTATTGCTACATCTCTTATCTATTATAAATTAATAGATTCTTCGTTCAGAGTTTCTGTAATTAATAAAATTTCTATAATTATTCCTCTTTTTTAATTCACTATGTAAACCACTTTTTCTGCAAAGATAAGTTAAGAGAACATTTCTTATATGAATCATAAATCACAAGTTATAGCTTAGCACATGTTGCTGAAACTTCGCAAATTTATTGGTTATGACTCCATCATGTACTTCAATTGAGTTTCTCTCCCAATATTTATCACAGAAATCAGTGAAGCTGTCTTTCAACTACTATTTCTCAAGCTGGCAAATTTAAGAACAAATGCCAACAGTTCCTTGCAATCTAACTTAGCTATTTATTAGACTGGTTATTCTTCCATATTTTCTTAATCTTCTTATTAGTCTTAGTTTCTCTTAATATCATCCTAGTATTTTCAATTAACTCAAGGTATGTTGAATTTATTTAAACTACGTCTCACCAAACTTTCATTATAATTATTGAATCTTAATAGTTTATTTCTTTACAGTATCTCTTTAATCTTCCAAATTTATTCAATTCTGCTATAAAACTAGCAGATAAATTCCTTAAACTATCTTATTAACATACATACTTACTTGTGTGTAGTTTAGGAATTACAACCGCGAAGTTTGCACTTAATTAGCACTACTCAACTTAATTAACATAATAAACTTCTTATTTATTTGCTCTAACACTTCAGGTACCTTTGAAATTTAAGCAATTTATTGCCTAAATCATCTTATTTAAGATTTGATTAATATTTCTCTTTTTATTTCTTTAATAAAGAATGATTAGGATCTATTGTTTTATGAATATTATGTGGTTCCATCAGCAAAGCCAATACCTTCGCTATTTAGTTTCTTTTAAAAATCTCTTTAAAAGCTTCCTCTTTAGTTGCAGATCTTAGCAATTAATGAATCGCAACAAATAATATCATGTTAAGATTGTCCGTAATACATAGATTCAGCTCAATATTGCTTATAAGATGGAAATCATAAAGAATTGTAGGTCTTTGTTCAATTAATTGAAAAAGCAAGAAGCAATTTATGCAAATTAAAAAATATATATACTAAAAAAAAACATTAAACAAATAACTTATTGCTTTTTAAATATAATAAAGTACT